GCATCAAGCTTTCCAGTCCTCAGCACAAGGCCACTCCTCTGTGTTACTGACTGCTCACACTTGGTTCACAAACTTATCTCAGAAGCAAAGTCAAAAATTATTAAATGCCATTTAATTAAAAATCAGCATAATGGGTAATTTTCTACCCACTGCACTTGTCGTTTGGGACACAGCTATAACACTCATTAACTTTTCTAAATAAGGGAACTTATTTCCAAAGGTGTGTGGGAAGCCATGCACAAGTGCAGTCAGTAGGGATTTGTATGCTAACCTCCCACAGTACATTAAAATGTCCTGCACCACAGGAGGTGGTATGTAGGAGTGCTTGGGCAAACTTTAGAACAGAGGAAGGTACTGAATCACTTGAAAAATTCTCCTTACTCTTTATTTATGTATTCAATTACTTGTTCCAGTTTTTACCTCCTAAGCACTCTTACTTCACAGGGTTATTTCAAGGCAGAATAGAAGTGCTACATTCTTAATGCAAACCTGTCTTTACTCCCACCTCCTCTTTAAATTTAAGAAGTAAAATTTGGCTGAAAGATGATGAACCAACTGCCAGTGCAAGTTCCAAGCCTAGCTTGCAGTTGTCAGTTATAAGCCAGGATTCCCAAAAATGTACCACAATTTTGCTACAGTTCAACAACAAACTCCTGTTTGCAAACTTCAGTTGTCCTGTGTCAGCTCTGCCAGAAGCTCATGGTGACCAATATCACCATGGCCTTTGCACTTGAGGGTTTACAAAAACGCCTGTGGAAAAGTGATCTTTAACCCACCTGGCAAAGATTTATTACACAAGGTGAGGTTAATAAAATACAGCTCTGGTGAGAGCTGAAAATCTGCCTAGACCCTCTTGGGCCCTTGGAGGCACATCCTCCCCCTGGGGCACGTGGGGGACATTGTATTTGTGGGTGCTCACTGCTCAGTGATGCTATGGGGGAAGTGGCTGTGGGGTGAGATTTATGTGGATACAGTTAAAGAATTCCATACCATTTGGGAAATGAGTAGTCATAAACTCAAAAAAGGATATAGCAAGGAAAAGGAAACAAATAACGAGCATTTCATGTCATTATCAGAGCAAACAATGCAGCGCGTAGTTCTGAGACTGCAAAGAGCCAAGCTGCTCCACAGAATCAAGCACAGCTACCTTGCAGAAATGCTACAAAGCAAAACTGCCCACTGAAATCCAATTTATTTGCAGTATACTGTTGGATGTAAAAGGGATTGTGATATTCAGACACAAAAATCCATCCATTTTTGTCCCTGTCTAAGTTTTACTTGGCTCCCCGCCAAGTCCCCGACCCAACACCAAAAAAAACCTCCAGCACAGTGCTAAGGAAAAAAAAACTAGTTTAGAAAGATCCAAACTAGCCAAACTTATATGAAAATAAATGTATTTACATATATTGCAGATGAAATACTATATACAATTTCCAAAAGGAAGAGGGAAAGGGAAGGGGGAAGGGGAAAGGAACAAAACCAAAATCAAACATACACAATCAGTAACCCAAGATCTAGCAACTAAAGAATTAGTAAAGGAATATCTTACTACTCTCCTTGGGACAACAGAAGTCGCACTGGAACGAGCACTGGCACCCTCCACCTGCCAAGGTCGGCCAGGCCTCAGCAGGCCTCACTCCCCAAGGTCGGCCAGGCCTCAGCAGGCCTCACTCCCCAAGGTCGGCCAGGCCTCAGCAGGCCTCACTCCCCAAGGTCGGCCAGGCCTCAGCAGGCCTCACTCCCCAAGGTCGGCCAGGCCTCAGCAGGCCTCACTCCCCACATGGCAGAGCTGACAGCAGGGAACCCATAGCCTCAGAGCCACTGGAAGGAAGGAGAGCGAAGGCCTCTCCTCCTTTCTTCTTATACCCCTGGCTTACGTAAAAATTGTAGGGAATACCGGGAAATATGGGCCCTTCCTTGGTTACAAACTAGTCACCAAGGAAGGCCTAGACTAAACTACCACAGTCCCTAACACAGACCTTTGAGGACACACTCAAATGCTCAAAGAACGTTTACATCAATTTTCAGGGAAAAGATATTGTTTAGGACTAGTGTCCAAAACTTTCTGTCTTTATAGACATGTTCAGCAATGCTGGCAGGGTGTAAAAACCTAAAGTATATCTCTCATTTACATTATGGTAATTTTAGTGCTTTGTTTACAAATACTCAAGTCATACTTTGTCTTTTAACAGAGAATTCTTGATGATATGTAAAGGAGGAAAGACAAACAAGCTAAGTGGAAATAGTTCATTGCACATAGACTTGCATATAGACAGTTAACACCGCTTACATGCTTGGATTTTTCTACTTTAACACCAAACATCATTACTGTAAAGCCAACTTCGCTGTCTTCTAACATCAGTTACAAAAAGAATTGTATTGAAACTGTTCATACAATAAGCTTCCAGTATTTAATAGGAGCATCTATAAACCCGCAGCCTGTAAAACACTGTCCTTTTTTTATTCAGCAGTTTTATTTATAAATACACTATAGGCAAGTTTGAAGTGCCAAAGTGAGCTTTCAATCACTCAAAATATTGGAAGAAAAAGGTTCATTGCTATAAATTTTTAATGAGAAAAGTATAGCAGACTCATGCTTTAAAAAAATAAAAATATGTATCAGAGATCTTAGGCTTCGTATTTGTCACATGGCTGAAGCAGCATGTTCACATTCCATAGTCTCCATTGCCATAGCAACACATGCTTGTCAGATCAGGGCTGATTCAATGCAGCCACCTCCCTGCAGAAAGTCTGCTAACCCTTAGATATGCAACCCTAGAATTCAGTAGCACTTCTTTTTGTTTGTTTGTTTAGAAAGGTAGTATTATTAAACAATGCAAGGTAAACACCTCAAGATAATCTACCTGATCTGAATCTGCACAGCTTGCTCTTTTTTAAACCAAAGGTCTGAAGTACTTAATGCAGCTAGACACAGAGGTAGATGATTCAGGTGACAAGCTTTTCATGTATGAAATTGTAAATGAAAATAGAATGACAGAATTTGCTGAGTTGTAACGGACCCATGAGGATCATCGCCTCCAACTTCTGGCCCTGCACATCAATCCCACCATGTGCCTCAGAGCATTGCTGAAACACTTCTGGAACTCTGGCAGGTTTGGTGCTGTCACCACTTCCCAGGGGAGCCTGTTCCAGTGCCCAACTACCCTCTGGGTGAAAAGCCTTTCCCTGGTATCCAACCTAAACCTCCTGTGACTCAGCTTGATGCCATTTCCTCGAGTTAGAATCACAGAATACTCTGAGTTGAAAGGGATCCATAAGGGTCATCAAGGCCAGCTCTTGGGTGAACGGCCCACAGGGGGATCCTGCCTTGTTAGCACCATGCTCTGAGCAGGTGAGCTGAGCTCAGGGGCCTGTGCCTGGTCATGAGAGTGCAGAGACTGGTACCTCTGCTGCCCCTTTGGAGGATATTGAAGACCACAGTGAGGTCTCCCCTCAGCCTCCTCCAGGCTGAACAGTGACCTCAGCTGCTCCTCTAAGACTTCCTCTCTGTTTAGCATTTCAATAGCACACAAACACTGGCTGGCATCCTGTTCCCTTTGGAGTGAACAGAGAGCTCTTCCCCCTTCTTTGCTTCATACAGTAAAAGTTTGTTCAGTTTTCACCTACAGTCAGTCATAAGACACTCAAGTTCCATTATCATCACACACAGCTGGATTGAGCAAGGCAGGAATGCAGAGTTAAGTGATTTGTGCAGATTTACAGAACAAGCTGACGTGTGAAACGCTGTTTTGCAGCTTTGGATCAGTTATTTCTGCATTTATCATTGTTACATATGCTACCATTTATATTTCATCATTACCTGAATACAGGAAAAAAAGCAATACAAAAAAATCTCTCAGTTAATGCTGCACACTTCACCTGATTCTGAGAATTCATCACACAGACTACTAAACCTGGTTTCCACTGCAATATGCTGTGGTTTAGAGCCTTGGTATATTTTTAATCAATCAAGTGTTGCCATATGCAAAAATGTAAGCAGATTGAAATGTTAATGTCCCTAGAAACTGAGAACTGGAAAATGCTGAAGTGTAACCACAAGTTATACTCAATACTGCATTATTCATGCTTTCTGGTTTTACTTTGTTCTACCATAGTTGAACAGACTCCCTTAATGCAAGGCAATTAAAGAGATTTCTATGGAAATGTTGCCTAGACATACAACTGTATCTTGATGAATTGCTAGAATCAACTTACATGTACTTGTTTTTCTGTGTTGGTAAAGTAAATTATTCAGAGGATCAGGTAATTTATTTCCAATAACTTATATTGTAAACTGCTTCATGCAGTTAGAAAGAGAGTTCAGACTTTTTAGGTTAAAAACCCCCACTTCCTGTAGCATGTGTTTTCTGAATCAGTACTACACATTTGTTGAGACACTTCTGCTCTAAGACATCCTGCCTAGAGAATGGCAAACAGCAGGTAACAGTAATTCACAGTGTCCAGGAGGTTCTGTTAACTTTATATTAAGTACTACAATTTGCTCTATATAGATTTTAATTTCTGTAAGGATCATGATGTGCTTGGACTCAGCATGACTTAAAAAATTGCCAATGTTCATTCCTATCAGGTGCTTTACAAAGTCTCCTAAGTCCTGGTTGCTCAGGGCAATGTTAGATCAAAAAAGATTCTAGAAAGATGAGGGTAATTCCCAACATCCACTGAAGTGTGTTGCATCACACTTCAACAAAATCTGCCAACCATATCTTTGTTTAAAATAAGCCACTAGAAAGGAGCAGAATTTAAACTAACCACACTTTTAAATCTAAATGAACCTTTTAAAAATCTGGGATAATATTTAGAACGGTGTTTCCTTGAATATTTCAGTTTGTGACCCAACTGCAATAACTAAAAATCTGTTGGATTTATGAATCTAAAAGTAAGTTCATTGTACTCCTTCAATCTGGAAATAAGCTGTTAAAGAAGGAGTCTCATACTACAGTTGACAATTTACATATTTTTTGGAAATGTTGATAAATTACCTTGGAAAGGTTTTGCAACACATCAGTAAATTCCTCTTCCTTTATTAATATTTCTGATATGTTCCATCTCATGTTTTCTCTTTCTTTGTCAATATCTGAAAAAAGAAGAATTTATACCACTAGTTAAATACCACCACATAATTCTTTTGGATCAAGTAATAATTCTTTCTGGAGAAAGGAGATTCATTTAAAACTTATTCTCTCCCTAACTGCAAAGAAAAGCACTAAATTACAGAGTAATATTACATCAGCAGCTGCTATGGCTGGCACTAAAGCACAGTGTTTGGGTGCAGTCTAAAACTGCCCTTCAGGGCACGTGTCACAATACTGAAACCCCAGCAAAGTGCCAGGAAATACTCCTTCCACCAGCAATAGAGCTGCAGCACACCCCCCTAACTACCCGGGCAGCTATTTGGGATTTGACAGGGCTGTCAATACAGTGTTCCAGCTCCGTTAAACCCTTTAGTTACAAAGCCAGGAAAAGCCTTGTTCCCAGCTGGGTCCAGATCTGCCCGCCAGTTGTCTTCTCCCCAGCAGGTACACAAAGCCAACACTCCTGCCTTGTAGGTGCCCACAGAACGTGAGCACATCATCTGCAGCTGGAAGCAAAGGGCAGTTGCTTCCTGTTCTTGCTGATTTTCTTTATGCCAGGGCAGTTCCTTAAACAATACTGAGGATGGGAAAAAGAGTAAGAGGAGTGCTAATGAGGGAGCCTCTTAATCTGCTAAATGTGTGTTAGCATGACTGTACCAGAAATCAGTAATGGTTAGAGCCTTAAGCCCTAGAAAATTCATACATGCTATGATTTTGTAATCCTATCCTTTCCTTCTACAAATGTAATAAACAGCATATTTCAAAGTTCTATATGAAGTATGGAACATTTAAAGCATCCAAAGCTGTTGCACAGGATCACCTAAAAGGCACATTAACAATTAGCCAAGTACTCCTGTGGGAAGACAAAGTACTCTTTCTGCCTCAGCTGCTCAAAAACAACTGTCTGCTCTGCATAGTAAAACTGAGACTCAGTTCCTGGGCAGCTGCTCTGCTTCCCTGAAAACACTCGGTAGCTTTCTGAAAGAGCTGGAAAAGCTGCACTGTATCCAAGCGAATTCCAGTATGAGGTGGCTGCACCACCCAGCGTTTCCTACCACTGCATACTACCATTCTACTTCCACTAATAAACGAAGGAAGAGAGCTGGTATGAAGGTTGTTTATGCCCTTTAAGCTTATTGTGTATTTTATTTTATTACTTTCTAACTTGCCAGTTTTGCAAGCCAGTATTTGAGCCAGGAATTGTTAATCACACTTTGCATTCTCAGTAACAAAAAAACCTCTCATTAGAATTCTGACTCCATAACCCAATCACTGTAATTACTTTTTAAAATACCCAATTTAACTCTCTAATCTAAGTAAAATGACAATGGTTTCTACATCTACTATTGAGGGAACCCTGACCAGAAAAAAGCACAATCAGAATGTTTACAGGTGTGATCACAGGCCAGTAGTTCTCCACTAAAGCAATTCAACATGTCGAGCTGTACAAAGCTGCAGCTGGGTTATCACAACACTCCTAATTCAAGATGTACGATATATATGCAACTTAAATGTAAGTCTGAAACAGACAGAATTTCAAGTTTGAAATTCATAATCTACTTCCACAGAACATTTTTTCTTTTCAAAAATATGTTTTGAAACCTTTAAAAATATACGGCTAATTACGAAATTAATTTATAGTTTTAGGTTTTCCAGTCTTGGGATATTATTTAAATGTATTTCCTTATTAAGTTCTAGTGCTTATTTATTTCTGGGTGAGAAAAGATCCCAACCAAGCATCCTGGGCTCCAAAACACACATACAGTTTGCCATCTGAGTACCCACACAATACGTGTGGGGGTTTTTCAGGCAAAAAAAAGGTATGAGCACACATAGAAATGTAAATTTAATTTGCTATACTTACATACCTAGGCTATAATGAGATAGAAATGTTGCTATGGGAACAGGTTCTCAAGAAAGTAGGAGATCACACATGACAGGCAGCACATTTTTGGATGGGTTTTGGGTATGTTACACCAGGGTTGATAACAAACATGTCAAAGCATAAGGCTAGCTTAAAGTCTTACATGCTCTAATATATTATGAGGTTTCATTGATAATTTTGCATTACTTAAGGATTCTACAAAGCACTACTTGCTTCCAGGTGTGTAAGAATGCTTTTCTCTCATCTTTATATCTTTTATCTTTAATTTGTAATTTCCTATCTTGTTATCAGGTCCTCCCCTTTTGTTTTATTTTTTCCCTAAATGTATTCATAATGCTCATTTGCTCATTCCTTCTAT